CTTCATCATCATCATCATCATCATCATCATCATCATCATCATCATCATCATCATCATCATCATCATCATCATCATCATCATCATCATCATCATCATCATCATCATCATCATCATCCTTTTCCTCCTCCTCCTCCTACTCCTCCTCCTCCTCCTCCTCCTCCTGCTCCTCCTCCTCCCCCTCCTCCTCCTCCTCCTCCTGCTCCTCCTCCTTTTCCTTTTCCTCCTCCTCTTCCTCCTCCTCCTCCTCCTCCTCCCCATTCCGGCTGCCGAAACCCCGCCACCAGTCAATCTAGGCGACGAGTGTCTATTAGCGTCAGGCTGCGAGGATCGCCCATACACCACAACCTCGCGCCCTTTACGAGGCTGAGCAGAAGAGCCACAGCGCATTCAGAAAAATTCTTTCCAAGGGTTGTCCATCCGGGACGTTTTTCTCAGCACCCGGACAAGGGGGCGACACCCCGCCCTGCCGCCGGCGACAGGTCACACAACGCAAAAAATCGGCAAAGGGGTGGAGACAGGGAGGAGGGGGCAGGACAGAACCGGAAGGCGGAGGAGGCGGACGCGCGGCGAAGAGCCATCAGACTACCCCCGTAGGCGCCCGCGCGCCCCGCCGGAGGTAAGGAGCGGGGTAGAAGAGAGGAGCAGGGGGAAAGTGGGGGAGCAGCGGGGGAAAAGTGGGACGTGAAGCTCAGGGATCAGAGGCGCCGCAGAAGCCAACAGAGCGACGCTGGCGAGCTGCAGCGCTGTCGCCAGGCGTCGGTAGCAGGCGTCGGTGGCGACAGACCTGCGGCTCTCGTCGAAGCCGCACGCAAGTCCCTTGACGACGCTCTGGCAGCCGCCGCCAAGCCAGCCCAACTGGGACATGACCACAGGCGTGAGGCTCAATGTGTGGCATTCTCGTCTCTAGGAGCTTTCCTCAGCCTCCTCCACCTTCTCCCCCTTCATCCTCCTGCCGCACCGCGCCTCCTCGCGTACTCAGCTCCGCGCCGCCGCCCCGCGCGCGGACGAGCGCGCCGCGGGCGGGGTTTCCCTGGACCACCAGGGAGCCCTGTTGCAGTTCGGGGGGGGGGAGGGAAGCCACCTGTCCGTCCTTCATCCCGAAACCCAAGACGTAGAGAGGAAAGGGAAAAAGAAGTAGGGGGAGTGACTGGGCCACTCATTGGGGCTACAGCGTACATGGTGGAGACGAAATGTCTTGTATGTAGCGTTGTACACGGAATATGGAGTTCACGCTCATATATGTGAAGAAAATGGCGATCTGGCGAGTCTTCACCTTGGTAGTCTGCGGCTTCACGTAGGCCGACATCGCCGTAGTCAACTGCATCATATAATCGTAGCCCGCGCCGAAGATCCCCTCAGCGTTGACCAGCAGCTCGCAGAAGGCGTCGACGCCAGGCTGCCCCTCGGCGGCTGCAAGATCGAACATCTTCACGAAAACGCAACCCTTGAGCAGCATGTGACCGCACTGACGGCGCGGGCGCTGACCTGGAGCTCGAAGGCGAGTTGCTTCTCAGGGCGCTCGCCAATCATCTCAGCGTTGCGCGCCTTGACGCCAATGACCATAGATCCTCCGTCGAAAACCAATCGAACAGCATCCGCGTCTACGCGTACGCGCCCAGCACCGCCTCCTGGACGCTTAGGCTTGGCTTCGCGCGGAGTCCGACCAGCCGCATTTGTTGTCATCGAAGTTCTGCCTGTCTTGGTCGTGGCTGTGCGGGAAGTCCTCCTAGCTCTGCTGGTTGCCCTTCTGATGGCCCGCTCACCTCTGCGGATGGCGCTGGAAGCTCTGCTAGAAGCTCTCGTGGCTCTAGAAGCTCTCGTGGCACGGGGTGTTGTCCGAATAGTTTTGCTTCTTGCGCTCGAGGCTCAGCCGGTGGCCCTCGTAGCTTCTGCGGCGGCTCTCGGCGCTCAGCTGGTGGCCCTCGTAGCTCAGCGCGTGGCCTTGTGGTTCCGCTGGTTGCTCGCGTAGCTCATCTCGTGGCCCTCGTAAACCTACTGGTGGCTCTCGAAGCTGCTCAGCGCGTGGCCATGGTAGCTCTGCCTGTGGCGCTCGTAGCTGTTCTGGTGGCCCTGCAAACTCTGCTCGTTACCCTCGGGGACATGCTGGGCTGGGGCCCTCGAAGTGCTGCTGGTGGTTTTCGAAGCGATGTTGGCGGGCGTCGCAGCTCCGCTGGTGGCTCTCGAGGCTCTGCCAAGTGTTCCCCGTAGCTCTGGTGGTGGCTCTCGAAGCTCAGCTTCTCGTCGTCGTGGCTCTCGTGGCGGCCCTCGTAGCTCCGCTTGTGGATCCCCGAGCTAAGCTGGTGGCTCTCAAAGCTCAGCTGGTGACCCCTGAAGCTCTGCCTCAGCTGGTGGGTCTTAGGGCTCTGCTTCGTGCCGTCGAAGCTCTCGCGGTGGCTCTCGAGGCTCAGCGGGTCGTTCTCGAAGCTCCGATGGCCACCCTCGGGGCTCAGCCCCAGTGGCGCGTGAGGCCACGTTTCTGCCCATCGAAGCTCTGCTGGTGGCCCTCGTAGCTCAGCTGGTGTCGCTCGAAACTTTGCTGGCCCTTCGCCGTCGCAGCTCTGAAAATCATGCCGTCGTAACTCTGCGGGTGGCCGTCGAAAATCCGTTGGTAACTCTCGCTCTGCCGGCATGCTGGGCGCCTGGCCAGGGCGGCGTAGTCGTCGTAGCCGTTGTGCTCGTCGTGGTTTTCGGAAGCGTCGTAGTCGTCCTCGTCGTAGGCGGCGTAGCCGTAGTCCACCGATATCTCCACGACGATGTACTGGGTTACCGCCTCGGACTGCTGGGCCTTGTCGTGCCTAGTGCGTACTTGGTGTTGTCATCGTCGTGCTTGCTTGCGTACTTGTCGTAGTTCGGCTCGTACGTCTGCTCGCCATCAGCTCGCATGCTCGTCATGGCGGCGACCACGAATGATAGATCTGTCCGTTTGACGTCCTTGCCCTTGCTCATCTTGTAGCTGGTCCTGCGCGCCGCAACCCCCAATGGCCCAGGCCCCGTCGGTCAGCCATCGGGCTGAGGCCGGTCCCGCGGCCCCCCGTCCCCGAGTGCGTGGGATGGGCGCCGCACAGTTGCGCTTTTGCACAAACCCCTGTGGCCGCCTTGGCGGCGCGCACACGAGGGTTGGCGCGGGGGGGCGGCCTTCTGAGAAGGCGGGGGGGGCATCTGAGAAGGCAGGCGGCTTCTCGGAAGCCCCCCCGGGCTTCTGAGAGGCGTTCTTGGAAGCACCCGGGCGCGTCCGAAACAAAAAAACTACATACAAACAAGCTGCCGGAGGTCAGCGCAGATTCCGTGGATCGGCGCTGCCCCAACCCCCCCACCCGAAGAGCCCGCCAGGAGCAGCACCGGAGGCGCCGCCAGGGCGGCGCCAGCGCCTGTCCAGGAAGTCCGCGCGGACCTCCGAACATTGGCGCTTACGGCTCATGCGGTTTCGTGCTCCTCGACTTCCTCCTCGATTTGCTCCTCCTCCTCTTCCTCCTCCTCCTCTTCTTCCTCTTCCTCCTCCTCTCCTCCTCCTCCTCCCTCCCTCCCTCCCTTCCTCCTTTCTCCCCTACCTCCCTCAGACAGAGCCCGGGGGCACCCGAGTGGGTCCTCACCCCCGTCACTCAAGGGGAACCCTGGGCGCTGGGTTTATGGTCCCAGGTCCCTCGCCAGCCACCGCATTGCCTCCTCCTCTGAGATGCGCCGTTGCGAAGAAGTTGTACCATCAGGAGAAATCACGCCCAGAGCCCCAGACCCATATAAATATATATATATATATATATCCCATCTTACCAGCCGGATCGAACTGTGAGGGTCCCAGGGCCCGAGAAAGGCGAAAGCACCCGCTGTCAAAAAGATGCAGCGCCTGGGTATGAGGGTCCTCCTTCTCCCCCTCCTCCTCCCCCTCCTCCCTCCTCCCTCCTCCCTCCTCCCTCCTCCCTCCTCCCTCCTCCCTCCTCCCTCCTCCTCCTCCTCCTCCTCCTCCTCCTCCTCCTCCTCCTCGGGTGACTTTACCCTGGCTGCTGGTAGCAGCGCAAAGCGCTGGCGGGGCCCGGGCGCGAGGCGGGAGAGGCGCCGCTCATCGTCCGCAAAAAGGCCAGCGGGCCACGGGACCCGCCCGGCCGAAGCTCGCAGGCTCTCCTGTTTCTCCCTCCCTCCCTCCTTCCCTCCCTCTCTCTCTCTCTCTCTCCTCTCTCTCTCTCTCTTCTTCCTCCCTTCTTCTTCCTCCTTCTCCTCCTCCTCCTCCTCCTCTCCTCCTCCTCCTCCTCCTCCTCCTCCTCCTCCTCCTCCTCCTCCGCGGGGCGCGGACGCTCCCAGGGCAGGCTCAGTGCACGGGCGGACCATGCGTCGCGGACGCACCTCGCCTCCGCGGCCCCCGAGCCAAACCGAGCAAGTGTCAGGTCAGGCATGCACGCCCCAGGAGGCCCCAAAACGGCGGCCAACAGGCTGCAGAACTGCCCCAACAGAAAACGAGAGCCCCTCCCACGACATCCCACGAAAGCATCTCAGGGGGCTCAGTATCACCCACAACCCAGGCACGCTGGCGGAGTGGGCCGAGCATTAGATAATGCCCAAAGAGCCCCAGCTCAGCTATCCCCTCTCAAAACCAAAAAAAACAAACAAAAAAAGAGTGGCACGGGGGGCGGGCCAAGAAAGAAGGGCGAGAAAGGAGGCGCCCGCTGCCGCCTGCACATTCCTTTGTCGCACAAGCATACCCCCCCCCCCCCAGATCCGAACGACGGCATTGGCTGGAGGCCAGTACGGAGGCCAGTACAAGAACAGGCATGAGTGTCATGAGTGTCATGAGGGGTCTCCACGCAGATACTTCCAAGAATGCGCGTCTCTCGCAGAGCCCCCAGCCTGACCTGGATGAGCCGCCTGTACTTTGCTTGGCTCGGGCTTCCTGTCCCCTAGTCGTCATCTGCCCCCCCCCATCCACCAATGCATGTCGATGTGCCCACTCCACCAGCGGGTCGGCCGGAATGGCTCCCCGGTGCTGGGTAGCAGGACGACGAGCGTCGACGTCAGCTTGTCCAGGTGCTCCGCGCTGTTCGAGGAAGAACAAGGCCATAAACGTAAACTTTTGGCGCTCCGCGCGGATTTCTTGCATCTGAGCTGGACCCCCCTCCCTGGCGCGCGGAGCGCGCAAGGGGCGGCGCTGGAGGCGCCGCCAGGGGGCCCCCGCGCAGACCCCGAGAACTCCGCGCGGAGCGCCAAAAGTGTATGTTTGTGTGGCTTTGTTCTCCTTCGGGCTGTGGTACTTCCTCCTGGGGCTCTCGAACTTGACGGCCTCCACGGCCTTGCCCGTCGCCCCGATGTTGACGTTGCAGGTCGACAGCCGGAGCGTGGCGACGTGCTCGCCCTGGCCGCAGCGCGGCGCCGCCTTGTGTCAGGTCGAGCATGCCCCCCTACAGGCGGATCTTCGACGAAAGCTTCAAAAAACATGCTCCAACATGATCGAAAATAGTTTGTGTTATGTATGTGTATATATAAATGTACACATATATATATATATATATATATATATATATCCGTATACACACATATAGATATACATACATACATACCTATATATACATATATATAGAGAGATATAGATATAGCTGTAGATATATCAATACCAGAAATAATCGCAGACCTATATTTGAATATTCCCCCTGTAGAGGGACAGGCCCGATTTAAGCCTTGTGGGAGTCGCAGTGGTAGACCGCCTGCTCCTGAAAGTACAGCGGGGGGTTCTGCGAGCCGACGGTGCCCTCCACCCTCAAGAAGCCTCCGTCCAACGATGACCCGAGCTTGTCGCACCCGGGGGCGCTCTCGCAGGTGAGCTCGGTAAGGACCGCCAGCTGGTCGTCCTTGCCGCTCACGGCCGTCGAGTCCTCGCCCTTGATCAGGTACAGCTGCTGCAGCTCGCTCCGATGCCTGCAGCACAGCCTGGAGGAACAAAACACTGCATAAACATACTTGCCCAGAGGTCCGCGCGGACGTCTTGGATCGGCGCTGGACCCCTCTCCGATCCAACAAAATCCAACGCCGGCCTTCGAAAAACTGTATATGCAGTTTGGAGTTGTTCGCTCCTCCTCCTCCTCCTCCTCCTCCTCCTCCTCCTCCTCCTCCTCCTCCTCCTCCTCCTCCTCCTCCTCCTCCTCCTCCTCCTCTTCCTGCTCCTCCTCCTCCCCCCTCCTCTTTCTCCATCCTCCCCCTCCTTCACCTCCTTCTCCTTCTACTCCTCGCTCCCTCCTCGTCATCCTCCCTCCCTCCCTCCTCCTCATCCTTCCTCATCCTTCCTCCTGCTCATCATGATGATGATCATCATCATCACCACCACCATCAGCATCAGCATCATCATCATCAGCATCATCAGCATCAGCAGCAGCAGCACCACCACCACCACCATCTCATCATCATCATCATCATCATCATCATCATCATCATCATCATCATCATCATCATCATCTTCTTATTATTATTCTTATTATTATTCTTCTTCGTCTTCTTATTATTCTTCTTCTGATTATTATTATTCTTCTTATTCGTCTTTTTCTTATTCTTCTTATTCTTCTCATTATTCTTCTCATTATTAATATTATTCTTCTTATTATTATTATTATTCTTATTCTTATTATTTTTATTATTGCTATTATTATTATTTTTCTTCTTCTTCTTCATCATCATCATCATCATCAGATCATCAGATCATCATCATCATCATCATCATCAGCATCATCATCATCATCATCATCATCAGCATCACCATCACCATCACCATCATCATCATCATCATCATCATCATCATCATCATCATCATCATCATTAGCAGCATCATCACCAACATCATCAGCATCATCATCCTCATCCTCATCCTCATCCTCATCATAATCAGCATCATCGTCCTGATCATCAGTATCAGCAGCATCAGCATCAGCAGCACCAACATCATCATCAGCAGCATCAGCATCAGCAGCATCAGCATCATGGTCATCAGCAGCATCATAATCATCATCATCATCATCATCATCATCATCATCATCATCATCATCATAATCATCATCATCCCATTGATATTCTTCCCCATCAACATCAGCAACATCATCATCATCATCATCAGCATCATCATCAGCATCATCATCATGAACATCATTATCATCAACATCATCATCGCAACCATGAGCATCATCAGCACCATCGTCATCATCATCCTCATCAGCATCGTCCTCATCATCATCATCATCAGCATCATCATCATCATCATCATCATCATCATCATCATCATCATCATCATCATTCGCAGCATCATTATTATCACCATCATCGTCATCATCATCATCATTAGCAGCATCATCATCATCATCATCATCATCATCATCATCATCATCATCATCATTAGCAGCATCATCATCAGCAGCATCATCATCAGCATCATCAGTATCATCAGCATCATCATCAGCAGCAACAGCAGCATCATCATTATAAGCAGCATCATGATTATCATCATCGTCCTCATCAGTACCATCATCATCAGCATCAGTAACAGCATGAGCATCATCAGCATCATTAGCAGCATCATCATCGTCAGCGTCATCATCAGCATCATCATCATCAGCATCATGAAAATCACCATCACCATCGACATCACCATCACCATCATCATCACCACCATCATCGTCATCATCAGCATCATCATCACCATCACCATCATCATTATCAGCAGCATCATCATCATCAGCATCATAATCAGCATCAGCATCAGCATCAGCATCAGCATCAGCATCAGCATCAGCATCAGCATCAGCATCATGCTGCAGCAGAAGCACCATTACCATCATCCTCCTCGTCCTCCTCCTCTTCCTCCTCCACTTCCTCCTCCCTTCCTCCCTCCCACCCTCCCTCCCTTCCTCCTCTCCATCCCTCCCACTATCCCTTCCTCCCTCCCTCCCTCCCTCCCTCCCTCCGTTCCTCCTTCCATCCATCCCCTTTCTCCCCTCCCTCCCCTCCATCCCCTCCCTCCCCTCCCTCCCCTCCCTCCCCTCCCTTCCCCTCCCCTCCCTCCATCCCTCTCTACCTCCCTCCCTCCCTCCCTCACCCCCCATCCCTCCTCAGTCTTGTGTGATCCGAGGGCCGCATCACGGCGCCGAGCCCGACACCGCCCCCGCCGCCCGCCGCCGGCTCCGACAGCTCGGCCGCGCGGTAGCGCCACACCTCGGAGCAGGGCGAGCCGAGACAGCGGCAGCTCGAAGAATTCTCGGGGATTGGGGGAGAAAAATCGCCTGCGACGAGAGGCTCCTCCTCCTCCTCCTCCTCCTCCTCCTCCTCCTCCTTCTCCACCTCGCCACTTTCGAGGGTTGCTGGGGGCTCCAGAAGAGTACATATACGATAAGGATGCAATGGCATTAGAAGGGCATGTCGACTCTTTGCGAGCGCAGAAGTTCTCCGAGCTGCGCCCAGCCGTGGCGGCGAGGGCCCCCCCGGGAGGCGAAGTGCTGCTGTCTCGGCTCGCCCCCCTCTGGGTCCCCCCCTTGGCTGTCGGGCCATGGCTCGGCCCTGCGGCGGCCATTCAGGGCGAGCTGGGCACGCCCAGAACACTCTCGGCGAGGCGCAGCCGCTGGAAGGCACCCCGAGGCTGGAAAACGATCAATAGCCGACGACACCGACGAGAATGTCTGGGGCCTCCGAAGGAGGAGGAGGAAGAGGAGGAGAAAAAGGAAGAGGAGGAGGAGGAGGGATGAGGGAAGAGGAGGACGAAGGAAGACCACCGCAAACCCAAGACTCATCAAAGATGTTGGAATAAACCCTCCCTCCAATCTTCCACTTCATAGGCCCCTACAAGGGTTCATGTTCATTGAGGAAAGTGCCTTGGTGGGGGGACAACCGTTTGAAGATTTTTAAAGCGCCAAAATACATTTCTCTGAACTTCAACGCCACAAACCAACTTGAATGTTGCGCCTTGACGATACCGAATCGTGTCAGTACACCATTCCTGGGATTCCAACGCCGCGAAACAACGTAATTGTTGCGCCCTGTCAATCCTGAGTGCTTCCGAAACACCAGTTCTGACATGTTACCATGGGCCAAGGGTATCTGTGAAGCCCTTGCCAATATTCAGAAGGCATGCGCGCGGCGCTTAGGCGAGAGCCACGAAAAGAAACCGCCCTCAATATGGGTAATCCTTCAAAAACGGAAGAATTAGAATAAGAAAAAAACAAACAAAACAAAAAACGCGGAGTTTAGGCGAGAACCACATGTTGAAAACGACCCCCATCCATCCGTGAAACCCTTGCACATGTGTCTTACGACTGTGCGCGGCGCTACGGCGAGAGCCACATGTTGAAAACCACCCGCCTTCGATCCGTGAAAATCTTGCAAATTCTTGAAACGAATGTGCGCGGCGCCAAGGCGAGAGCCACATTTTGAAAACGGCCCGCCCTCAGGCCGTTAAACGCTGGCAAAGTTCGTTGAACGAATGCGTGCGGCGCTTAGGCGAAAGCCACATGTTCGAAAAGACCCGCCCTAAGTCCGTGAAACTCTAGCAACGTTTGCAGGCCAGTGTGCGCGGTGCTAAGGCGAGAGCCACATTTTGAAAACCGCCCAACCTCCATCCGTGAAACTGTTGCCACCTTCGAAGCTTCAGGATCATGAATGGCACGGAAGTCCCAAGCGAAATGACAGGCCCGCACGCCCCTCGACCACCTTCGGGGTGAGACAGGGAGGAGTTCTCTACAAGGATAAGGAGTGGAGGAGGGAGAGAGAGGAGGAGACGGAGGAGGAGGAGGAAGGAGGAGGGAGGAGGAGGGAGGAGGGAGGAGGGAGGAGGAGGAGGAGGAGGGAGGAGGAGGAGGAAAGGGGAGGAGGAGTTCGCCCTCCTCGGAACACCGAGGCGAAGGGCCCGCGCCGCCACTTGCAAGAGAGCACCGGGCCGTCCGGCCGCCCCGGCGGGCCGCCCTCCCGCGCCAGGGCGGCCCGCTGCGCCCTCAGCGCCCCCAGCCGCGCGCGCAGCCGCGCGGCCTCCGCCGCCAGCGCGCCCCGCAGCTGGCCAGCGGGCGCCTCGGGTGCCGCGACGGCCCCCGCGGGCGCCGCGCCCTCGGCGGGCCCCGCGGGCGCGGCGGGCCCCGCGGCGGGCCCCGCGGCGGCCCCCGGCGGGCAGCCGCCGCAGCAGCGCCAGCAGCCGGGCGCGCTCGGCCGCGAGGGCCTCCAGCTCCGCGCGCAGGCGCTCGGCCGCGCCCTCCCCGCGGGGCGGCGGGAGCTCCCGCGCGGCCTCGGCCAGGCGCCCGAGCCCGTCGCAGAGGCGCGCCGCGCCCTCGCAGAGCTCCCCGCGGGCGCTTGAGGGCGGCGGCCGGCACCCGGCGGGGAGGCCTCCGCCGTGGCGGAGGTTGGCCTGCGCCATCGCGGCCAGACCCCCGACGCCCTGGAGCAGCGCGGCCCGCTTCTGGGGTCGCGAGACGAGGCGCCCAGGGCAAGAAGAAGAAGAAGAAGGAGGAGAGGAACAGCAACAGCAACAACAACAGCAACAACAACAACAACAACAACAACAACAACAACAACAACAACAACAACAACAACAACAACAACCACAACCACAACCACAACCACAACAACAACAACAACAACAACAACAACAACAACAACAACAACAACAACAACAACAACAACAACAACAACAACAACAACAACGAAAAACAACATCAACCTTAACAAAAGGAACAACAACAATCACAATAACCACGAGAACGACAACCACAACAACAGCAACAACAACAACAACAACAACAGCAGCAACAACAACAAGAACAACGACGGCAACAATAACGACAATAATAACGACAACGGCGACGACAACGGCAACAACGACAACGACAACGGCAACGACAACAACGACAGCAACAATAACAACAACGACGACGACAACAACCATCAGTTTAAGACTGCTCGCTCTGATCTGCTCGTGTGTCATTCAACACGTATATCCCAAACTCTCGATATCCGCCCTCTTCGTCTTCGATCGTACCCCCTTGCGGGTATGTATCTTTCTTACCTGCAATGTGCATTTCGAGCAGCACCTGAGGCAGGGGAAGAGAGGACGGATGGAAGGAAGGGGCAAGGGAGAATGAGGAGGATGGAGCACGAGAGAGAGTAGCAGGAGGGGGGCTCGGAGCAGAAAACACGTGGCAGAACCAGACGGACAAATCGGGCGGATAGACCCTAACAGGCAGGTCGGGAAGGCAGGCCCAAACAGCCAGGTCGAGAAGGCGGGTTGCTGAAGCGTGCACCCTACATGAATCGCAAGGAAGTCTCTAGCGATAGCGCGACTCCCAAGTAAACCGTGCGGAAATCCACAGCGAGAGCGTGATTCCTGAGTGTCGAGGGCGCGGCGTTTGAATAAATCCCACCAGCCCTTTGGGCGCCAGGTGGTCTAAGGAGGGTCTCTTTCCTCTGCCACAATCCCTCTTCCCTTCGGGAAGGGGAACCCTCCCCCTCCCCTCCCTGAGGTTTTTGGGAGGGGTCGCGACGAGTTAGAGCGTCCTTTTTCGGCCCCTGGGAGGGCCATTTCTGCCACCCCTCACGAGGATCGTGGCCCCCGAGGGGGGCGGGAGATAAAGGAAACCATTATTTTGATCGATAGCCTCCAAGATGGCCCTAAGACGGCCTCCAGGGTTCCCAAGAGAGCCCCAAGAGGGCCCGAAGAGCGCCCCAAGAAGCCCCGAGAGGCCTCCAAGAGGCACCCGAAAGACCCCCGAGAGGCCCCCGAGCGGCCTCAGAGAGCCCAAGATGACCGCCAAGATGACTCAGATAGCCCAAGCTGGCTCAAGATGGCTCCCAAGATGCTCCAAACGGCCCCCAGACCGCTCCAAGACGGCTCGGGCTCCATAGGGAGCTTCAACTACGGCCCCAATGGGAGGGTCCGGATGGCGGCGCCGTCCATGTCGGCACAACCCCTCACGAGGATCGTGGCCCAATGGGGAGCTCCACCGACGGCCCCGGTGGGAGGCTCCTCATGGCGGCACGGCCCATTTCAATGCACCCCTCACGAAGATCGTGGCATACGGCCCACGTGGGAGGTTCCGCACGGCGGCGCCGCCTGGGCGCGCCGCCCACGTCGGCCCACAATTCACCACGGTCGTGGTCCAATGGGGAGCTCCGCTTACGGCCCCAATGGGAGGGTCCGCATGGCGGCGCCGCCCGTGTCGGTACACCACTCACGAAGACGAGCCCCCTGTGGGAAGCTCCACCTTGGGCCACAGCTCGAAGGTTTACATGCGTACTTCCGCCTGCTTCGGCACACCCCTCACGCGAGCCCCACCTGCTGTCTCAGTGGGAAAAAAATCATATTTTTCCGCTCTCCAGTGTCGATTTACCCCATACACAGTTCGCGTCCCACATACGTCCCCGGTTGGAGGCTTACCCATCGGTCCGAAGCAGTAGGTAGAAACATGAAGTAGGAAGGCGTTGGTTTCCGCCCGCCTCCTGAAGAGGAGGGAAGAGGGAAAACCACTCGACTCTTGAAGTAGGGAGGCGGCTAAAGTAGATTGGGAACTGGAAATCTACAAATACCTACCTTCAACGACCGATGGGTACATGCGTTGAGCCACCAGTTTCTGTGCACATCCAGCGCACGGGCCTTGCAGATAGGGAAATGTATAACCAACGTAGCGTGACGCTACCGAGGGGTGGGCCCCTCACCGGGTACTCCATGCGTTCTTCGTCGGCTCACTGCTCGGAGGCGTCCATGGGGGGAAGGGGAAGGTGCGCAGATCACGGCCAAGGCCTGTACGCGGAGGAGGAGCGAGACCAGAGAGCGTGAAGCCATCTCCATGGAGATCTCATGGCTGCGGCCACGACACCCACACACCTCCAGTCATCACCCCCCCCTTGGACGCCTCTGGCTCGCACCTCCCTCCTCGGTCGCGCATCGCCGACAGATCGGCGCTAGGCTCTGGATTGCGAATCCGAACATTCCTGGCCCCACATCGGCGATCCATGCACGATTGGAGCTCGATGCATCCCCCCCCCCGTGAGCCCACCTCCCCCCTAAGACCGCTCAGCGGTTGATCATGACTCGGAGTGGCCGCCGGGGGGCCCTGGATTCCGCCCCCGGCGAGGCGCAGCAGCCGGAAGGCACCCCGAGGCCAGAAAGCCACTGAGAGAAGCGACGAACACGTCCGAAAAACTCAAGCCTCGAACCCCAGCGCTGCCACTGAGAAACC